TCCCCCATCTTCCTGAAAAATTTCCCCCTCGTACGTTACACAGTTCCAAAACTGAGTGTTTTATTGCCTACATGATTTCAACAATGTTAATGGTGCAGACTGCCTCAGGAGATGGTGGGTTTCTTTAATGGTTGTTAACCTGAGGTTGGACCTTAGGGATGCTGGAAGAGTAGACTTCCTGCACTGGCAGAAGCCTAAATCAGATGACTTTTGAGCTCCCTTCCATAGGACTCCCAGATGATTTTATAATGTAAAATTTTCTCCTAATACCAAAACAGCTTTATGTCGAGACTCTAATTGCTTGATGCAACCGAGTACTTTAAGAAGGAGTGTGGGATCTATTTCAAATTTTAAAAGAGGCCTCTCCCCCCAAAGTGTGTATAAACAGGGCAGAGTTTCAAATGATATTTCTGGCTGCCTCATCATGTCCATCCTTGTCTGGAGATGCGTCCTCACCTGGCCCACCCAGGGCTTCACTGTTGGCATTCTCCCCTTCAATCTCCTTCAGCACTTCTCCGAGGGCATCCCACTTTGGATTGCTTTCCAGGACCAATTCCCTCTTCTGTTCTGAAAGGGAACACAAATTAGGTTTATCCATTTTCAGCATAAGCTTAACATCAAACCTTTCCTTTTTTCCCCTCTTTGCTGAACATGAATTTATACAGGAGCATTAGAACAACATTGGAATTACATTGGAAATTCTGTCATAACAGTGTGCAGTATGTACTCAGATGCCTCAAAAAAAAAAATCATACATGTTATGCTACATAAGTGAAAAAGGGGTTGCTATACCTTTTGCTTCTTTTACATCTGTTTTTTCAGAGGCTTTTTTTTTCTTACTCGCATTATTGTCTGGAAGGCGATAAACTCTGCTCCGAGCATTCAGAAACATTGATGTACTAGAATCAAGAAAAAGCCAGCCTAGGAGATAGATAGATAGATAGATAGATAATGTAAGGGTGTGCGTATTTATAAAATAAATCCAAATATTCAACTTAACTGCTTTTCTTTGCTTCCACCCATTAGTTTTTGACTCAGCGTTTAAAATTAATAAAAGCCACATTTTTTTAAAAAAATATAAACCTATGCAATCATGTTCAAAGGAAAAAACTTGCTTTGTTCCTTAGCAAAGCATGTGTTTGCAGGCATTATTTTCAAAGAGGAATGTGCTGCTACATGAGAAAGAAGAGGAATGCCTCTTCTGATTCTGCCATCTGCTGCTTTTATAAGAGTTTCTATCATCACTGTTTAATCTCTTGTCGATTTAGGAAAGTACAAAACGTTGAGTCACAGATGGTCCAGCCCCAAAATGGGCCATACAGACTTCAAAATGGGCCGTTCTAAATTTCCTGGAAGTGATCTTTTTTTGAAAAAGGTACTGTTCCAAGGTCAAAACACTTGGAACAAACCTATTTCAGGGGGCAAAGAATTGCAAAATGTTTTGCATAAATCTGGGTATACCTAGTTAGCCTCCTAACTGGCTTTTTTAACTTACTGTGTTGCAGCTTTAATGCAATTATTCACTATTTAGGATAAAACAGTGCAGATCCAGAGAACCTGCTCAGGTTGACTTCACATACTTGCTTGAAAAAGCCATAGTGGCCTGGATTACTCATAATGCTATGACATAACGCCATGGCTTGTTCTCCGATGGCTGCATTCACATCTCATACTAAACCAAAATGAGACAAGTCACTACGGCTTAGCTTAATGTGTAGAACCAGTCATAGGTTCACCATAATCTAATTCAGTGTTTCTCAAACTTGGCAACTTTAAGATGTGTGGACTTCAACTCCCAGAATTCCCCAACCTCCTTCAAGGTCTGCAGGAGGACAAAGATTCTACAAAGCCAACTGACTGGTGCAGAAAGTATGTTTATTAATGAATAAAGTGGGTTTATTACAGGTAGGTAATGAACTGGGAAAATTCACTTTGAGTCCTATCATATGCAGGACTCTCACAAAATTGATATGACAATGGAATGAGGGATTCCAAAAGAAGATAAAAGGATAAGCCATTTTTTTTACCCCAACATACTTGCTTGAGCCAGACATACATGCCACTCTCCCCCCACAATTCCAGAAAAAGGTTTACCACTTAATTTTGCTTTTTGCATGAAGCAGACTCAACAGATGGCATCAGAAATGCTAATAATTTACATGTGTGACAAATGTCCTCAAATAGCACAGCTTCCAGATCCTTACATTTCCCTTCTCCCAGCAGCCAAGACCTTCTTATATAATGACTAAGCTACGAAGAAACACAAACCAGGCTTCTGATGGGAGCACTGCACATTTTCAAGCAACAGCCGTTAAGTGGGAGGCTGAAATAATCTGTGTCCTCCAGCCTTCTGGCTGGATAGGAACACTCAGGAACATTTGTGCACGTGTCATCTTTGCTCTAATTAAAACTTTACTTTTTATAATCCAGTTGATTAATCTATTCCTACCTGAATTCTGACCAAAAGCTTTTTCCGACACTCTTAGAGACTCCAAAAGATGAAGGAAAGTGACGCAATCATACTGAGTCAAGTACTGTAGCAACGTACGGAGGATCTTCAAATCTTGGACCAGAGATTTGGTCTTGGTTCCAAGCTGATGCCAAAGAGGATCTAAATAGTGACGAATTGTCTGTAAGTGCAACATTGGGAATACTTGTTAGTGCATGATGCAGTGACCTATGCTTGACCCAACCAGCTGATCTCTTAACAGATTTAGAACCTGAAAACCTTTAACAGGGGGGCGGGGGGACCTTAATATCAGGGTTTGCTTCTTCCTCTGAGCACCATTCTCTATAGTACAGATATATTTCCTTAATGCTTTGGATCTAAACCCTTGCTTGGCGTTATACATTTTCTCTGGTCCATTTGGGCTGTCAACCACTTCCTTCCTAGTCTCAACACTCTCTGGAGTCTGATAGCATGACAGTCCCCATGTTCCCCAGAAGACTGCTAGCTCAGGCTAAATTATCTCTTCTCTCTCTATACCCCCTCCCGCTTAGGGTTCACCCCTTTCTTTGCTCTCCACTACTCCAAATCCTTGCCCAAACAACCAAACATTTACAGTTCCAAACAGTCTGCAAACTATGCATATTGTCACAAGGCATTATAGAGTAGTTTCCTATGTTTACTGAGGTCAAAACAGATGTAGTGGCAAGAGAACTGTGATTAGATTTTTTAAATTGTACAAAATGTGTTTATGAAGATTCTCAGTCATCCAGGTAGAATTGTCTGGAGGTTGAGTCATGGCAATTGGACCTCTTGTCTTTTTGGTTAGAGACATTTCGCTACTTGTCCAAGCAGCTTCTTCAGTCTAAAAAAGTTGGTCAGGGGGACCCCATAAAAGTCTTCCAGGGTGGCTGGGTTTCTTACTAGCATGATAGGCTTGTTGAAGGGACAATAGGAGATGTGATTAGTGGAGTCTTTGAGATGTAGATGTCTTACTCCTAGATGTAGATGTCTTACTCCCCTTAACCAACTTTTTTAGACTGAAGAAGTTGCTTGGACAAGTAGCGAAACACATTTAACCAAAAAGAAAAGAGGTCCAGTTGCCATGACTCAACCTCCAGATGATTGTACAAAAGGGTCATCTCCCCAACTGGACTGAGATCATAGGATCTCTGATTCAAAGGAGGGTGATTATCTTTTTCTTCCACACAAATTCCTTGAACATACATACACAGAAACATTTCCATTAAGTCCTTCTCTTCTGGGGACCACTCATTATGCAAAGCACCAATAAGAAATTAAAGGCATGAGATAAGAAAAGGAAACATAGCGAAGCCATTGACATCAACACCATTCACTCATTCTTTCCATATTTTTCCAGCTACCACATCCATTCACCACTCATGCACTCAAGAAGTTCAGAGAGTTATTATTTATCCTGCAAGACAAAATACTGAAAGAACAGGAGCTCTGGGAGAAGGGACAAACAGGGAAAATAGCGCCTTCATCCAAATAAGAGGGAAAATAGCTGCATTTAATTTTTTTTTAAATGTGGAAGATCTAATCCTCTCCTTTCTCTTTTTTAGAAATGTTTTTAAATTGATGTTTTATGTATTTATATATACTTATGTTTTTAATGTTCTTCTGTGTGAGTCTCCCAGAGTTCCCCCATTGCGGGGGAGATGGATGGGGGAGAAATTTGATAAATAAAATAAAATAAATAAATAAATAAATAATCATAGATTTCTTGCCATCCTTCAAAGTTGTCCATTCACAGCCACACTTGATTCCACCAGAATTTTTTTGTTCAACTTTTAGGGACACTAGATTAAAGCTGTTTAGCACAAAATATACTTTAAAAAAAAAAAAGAACAATCCCAATGATGTTATGATCCTGGCACACAACCACCAAATAAAAGAACATTTATTGTTAACAAGCTTATGATAAGCAAGCCAGAGACTTGGAGAGCTAATAAAACATTCTTTTATGTAAAAACACAGTTCAAGTATTAACAGATGTCAGACCCTCTATTAAACACACACACACACACACACACACACACACAAAACAGACTTCTCTCCCTAAACCAAATACAGCTGGTAGTAAAGGAAAAAAGTCCAACTGGAGAGTTTTGACTAGGTGCTCCTGAAGCTCATGACATTTCACCAAAAAAAACCAGCACTTGTTTCCTTCCAAAAGAAACAGATACACACTCTGGGGAGCCTATTGCCAAATTAACAAAGACAAGGGAACCTGCCATTAATGAATGTAAGATGCAGTACTTCTTAGGTTGGCCTATAATCAACAGAAGTATTTCACTACTCTTTCCTCCTTATAACTTAGCCGAGCATTTCATCTGAGCTGGGTTCTGCCCTAGGACGCCTTTCAAATGCCACAGCTAAGCTCAGGAAGCTGAAGGCTGTCTCATCTTCATTTTAACTCCACAGATCATTATTTCCTCATTACTGAATGACTACCACCACCACCACCCCCAGTAAACATCCCCAGGCTCAAGAACAATGAAGTCCAACTTAGATCCTGCAGGTGCAGCTTTAGTAAGCAGCATATCACTTGTTAGTTACAACTGAGTTACTGCCACCCCAATGAAGCACCTGAGATCCAGGCCCATTTTACTTAATGGCCTGAGAAATGTATGAATGAACTGGATGTGTGACCAACCACAGATGCTGTCTTCCCATGTACATTCAATGAGATCTACATTTATTCTATACATTTCCCATAATTCCCCTCAGGAACACAAGCTAGTATACATGATTCTCCTCCATAACAATCCTATGCAGAAGGTTAGGCTGTGAAAGAAAGAAGGTTTGGCCAGTTCAAACAAAGTATCACTGAATGGAGATGTGAATCTAACTTTAGCACATCTATGTTTAAAAGTAGTATACTTTGAACTATCAGATACGGGGGACATAGAAGAAATAAAGGTTACTACTCTCATACATACGCATACCAATATAAAAATAATCAATACAACTTCACATTGCAAGCTGATGAGAAAGAAGCATTAGACTCTTCACTCACAAGAGGAGAAGTACCTTTTCAAAAGCCATCCCAATGGCATTTTCTAACGACAGATCCTCCACTTCCAGAGCAGGGTTGCACTGCTTCAGTTCTTTCAGACATGCATTCAGGATGTCCAATATGGAACTCTGGATGGCGCGCATGGCTGAAGTCATGGTGATGTGTATTTCCACCACTTCAGGTTTGTGTTGCTCTAAAAAGGAGTGTACCACAGCATGAAACCTGGGGAAGAGAAAGACAGAAAGATCTCACCAAGGGCCTGCATGAATCGACACCAGTCCTGGTCCCTAGCTATGGACAATTCATCCGAGCACTAAGGTTGGAAGGATTCTTTCGATCCTTACCGCCACCTTACCTTGGCCAGAGATACAGCTTCCTTACAAAGAGGTTTCGCATGACTCTTTCCACGTGACAAAAGCCAGTGTTAAAAGCAACCGCATTATCTGTGAAGGCTTTGATGAAACCTTGCTTGTTCTTCTGGCGATAGAGCCGCAAGATAAAAGCTTCTTGGCAAGACTCAATGATTCTGTGGGCTTTGTACACCAGAATTCCTGGCAGAATAACAAGAATAAATTGGAAGCAGGGGTGGAAGTGGGGAGCTCAGAACAAAATACAGCACAGGACATGAAGTTTCAAGACAGGTCAAGAGTTTTAAAGGTTTTACCGATTAAACAGCATGAGACATTTTAACTATCCTTTGGCAACTTCTCCAGAGAGGGAAGAATGGATGCCCTTTAATTCCTTCTTCAGAATGGTATCAGTGAAAACCCTACCTTGGTTTAAGATCTGCTATAACAAGACGTGGAGGTACTCCCTGATCTTAGAAGAATTATTCCAATGAAATACCAAAGTTTTATGGGATACATCTACTCAGAAATATGATCCATGGAATACAGCAGGGTTCATTCTCAAATAAGAGCTCACAGGATTAAGCAGCACACATTAAGAGCCCTCCTTGCTCAAACCACTATGGGCAGCCAGAATCTCCAGGGAGCCACAAAGCAGCACATAAAATCAATGGTTTGTGGCTGCATTTCCTCTTTAAGCCATTGGGCATCTCCCCCAATGGAAAGACAGATCTAAAATCAAGGCATCATACGGATTTTCAGGAGTGAACATAGCCGCTACATCCTAATGCTAGGTGTCAACCACAAGAGGCTGTTACTATTCCGTATCGCTTCCACTCCAACCTTTCCTCCAAACTGGTCAACGGTCTTATATCCAGCTCTCCATCTCCAGTTTTAGCTGTTGGCTTTACGGCAGTGTTTCCCAACCTTAGCAACTTTAAGATAGGTGGACTTCAACTCCCAGAATTCCACAGCCAGCATGGGGAAGTTTACAGTGCTGGCTGGGGAATTCTGGGAGTTGAAATCCACACATCTTAAAGTTACCGAGGTTGGGAAACGCTGGCTTAGAGAGAGACAGAAAGTGACTAGCTCAAGATTACCCTTCAAACCTCATGACCTAATTCCACTAACATCTCTACTAAGCCAGACTGGTTTTTAGTGCAGAAAATAATGCCCTGAGCATGGCTTGATGACTAATCTGTAGCTTACACTGCATGTTTAATAGAGCTTCTCTCATGCTGACCTCTAGTGGGAAAGACCCTATAAAACAAAGAACATTATTTTAAATCTGCCTACATGTGAACAGAGAAGAACAATAGCCATGCATTTTTCAGTCTAGACTCAAAACTATGCATGGCATGCCGGGAGGAGGGAATGACAACCGGTTATAAACTTCTTACCAGTGATAAGATCTGCAGGAATCCTGTCTGTCAGAAAATCCACCACCAGAATTCGGCTAGTGGCAAAAATAACTCCCCCTTGGGTGTAAGCTTCATAGCGGCTGCTGCTGACAATTTCATTTGTAACACGCCGAGGAAGATAAGCCACGTTATCAGTCTTTAACTGGTCAATAAAATACTCCTGACAAAGGAAAAATGATTCAGAGTAAATGCAATGCAGAAAAAAGGATGATTTACTAATGCATTGTTCAGTAACATGCCAATAACATTAGCATTGTGGGCTGGTCTTATCAAGGGGCCAGCTAGCCATTGGTCTTCTCCAGGATATTTCTCTCTTTCCCAAACTCCACTTTGAGGATTTGTACCCATTAGGCTCATTCCTTGCAGCAATTATTTTAAGGTTGTTTTCTACTTCTACAAACCTTAGGCTCCCCAAACTCACTGCCAACTATTGAGGATAAATGGAGAATTTTGGCTATATGAGAACTGGTTTTCAGCAAATGAGTTTGCTACTGGTATATACAGTTGACTATTAATAATTAATTATTAATTAAGGAAAGAAGCAAATCTGTATATCTCCTTTCCTGGGCATAGTTCTAAGCACACAGAAGAAGCAATCCCATTGAAGAAGTGCACTTTACTTCTGAGTAAGCATTCTTAGATCATGTTATCAATCTGAATTGCTTCTTTATAGCATCCTTAGGTTGCAGGGCTATACAATATTTGCCTAGGAATGAAGCCCACTGAATTAAATGGGTGTCATTTCTGATTAGGTATGCATAGGATTATATTATTAGTAGGCATCTGAATATTATTAGTTGACAGGAGACATATAAGTGTTAAATGTTACTAAATATTTCATAACCTTGACGATGCCTTAAGATCTGGCACAGCTTTAACATTTTTTCTGCAAGTTTATTTCTTCTTTTAATTGCCTCTGAGTTTAAACTGTATGGGTTGTTTCAAATATAAAATTAAAGGCAAATAATTCTCATATAATGAAACGTTACCTAAAATGATTGAAGGTTAGCCCACGATGACAATGCAGCCTTTCTGTGGTAAAGATGTGTTTCTGTAAGGTATATTTTATTTTAAATTTTGTGAGAGCTACAGCTTTGGCTGGGAACCAACAGGGCAGAACAGTTGAGCTGAAGAATTTTTACACATACCCTTTGTTTTGATTCTGAGGTTTCAAAACCTGCCTTTTTTTTTTTTTTTAAACAAAAAGGAAGTTCAGGCCAGCAGTGCTGTGTTAAGTGGAGTGAAACAGCTCCACTAAGAGTCAATAAAGGAGTCTCAATTTTGTGCCACTATTCAGCTAAAAACAGGTTTGGAGAGACGACTGAATCCAAGTGAGGGAAGTAACTGGTAAGAGGGCCAAGAAGAGATCAGGAGAAGTCTAAGACTAAGAAGCTGTAAGCTAGAGCAAGTCCTAAGGAAAGGAACCTAGAGTCACAACTGCCATGAAGTCACCAGGAAGCCATGTGGGTTAGAGACAGGTGACAAACCACCAGTGAATTAGTTACACATGTCCTAAGGAGAGGACCCAAAAGAGTAGCAGCCAAGAGAAGCTGCTCTGATCCCTAACATCTCCTCATGAAGAAGGAGGAGGAGAAACCTGCACAAGTCTTCACTTTGGCCTTGTTCATACAACACTCTTGATCAGGTCAGCTGTGTTCATTCAACATGCTAAACTTGGTAGTTTTAAATGAGAGAGTGGCGGTTAATGTTTTTAGGCCAGATGAGCATGTTAGGCAAGCCTAGCCCATTTTGTCCATGTATCCTGCAAATCCAGAAATCAGATCCAGTGAGTAACCACATTTCTGTAAACTCCGTCTCTAAGCGAGTGTGAGCTGAAGTAAAAGACAGAAGGACAGAAGTTGATAGAGATGTCAAAAGGAGGAGCGCATTTTCAACAGCCCCCCCCGTTAGAATATTAATATAAGCAAATGCACATTTAACATCTGCCTTAACTTCTTCTACGTTTTGTTACTGTCCAAATGTTGGCTGTTTATTTCCTGACAAATAAGAAGGAAGATTTGGATTTTAAGCGAGTGTGCATTTATTCCCAGGGTCTCTTCTCCCCTTTCCTACCTCAGCATCTTCCCTCAGAGCTCCCCACTCTACGTCCCACCATATCTCCTTTTTGTAAATGCATTTCAGTGCAAGCCTTATTGTGGGACGGAGGTTGCCCAGGCCTGCTCTGAGCTCCTTGGAGGAAAGACTGGCTAAACCAGAAGGGGAAATAAACTTTGGAATGATTGTTAGTGCCAGCTGGTCTCACAAGGAGCCAGGAGGCAGGACAGGGTCAGCCCCCCCTCACACAAAAGGAGGAGTTACTGTCTGGGGTCGTGGTGAAGGCTCCAGGCTAGAAACTGGGAGACCTGAGTTCTAGTCCTGCCTTAGGCTCGGAGACCGGCTGGGTGACTTTGGGCCACTCCCTCTCTCTTAGCCCTGGGAAGAAGAAGGCAGAGCAAACCACTTCCGAAATCTTGCCAAGAAAACTGTAGCGACTTATTATTACTTCTTCTTCTTCTCCTTATCATCATCATCAAGTGCCATTTTGGTGTAGAGAACAAGGCGCCAGGCTAAAAACCAGAAGACCCTGAGTTCTTAGGTACGAAGCCGGCTGGAGGACTTGGAGCCAGTCATTCCCCTCAGCCCTAGGAAGGAGGCAAGGGCAAGCCACTTCCAAAATCTTGCCAGAGAGCCACCTGGGGCAGAGGTCAAGGCCCCAGGCTAGACACTGGGCGACCCCGAGCTCTAGTCCCGCCTGAGGCGCGAAGCCGGCTGGGCGACTGGGCCAGCCCCTCTCTCCGCCCAGCCCACCTCACAGGGTTGTTGTTGTGGGGGGAAAAGAGGCGGGAGCACTGGGCACACGCAAAACATACAGGCGGGACAGGAAGCTAGCCTCACTCCACACGTAACAGGCTCGGCCTCCCCGCCACAACTGGGCTGCCCGCCCGCCTGCGCTTCCACAAGGCCAGGCGCTCAGGGCCGGGCTCCCACGACCTGCCAGGCTCGGCGAGGCGCCGCGGGCCGGGTCGTCCGGAGCGCGGTGTTAACCCGGGTTGAGCGTCTCGTGGGAATGCGGCCGGGGTCGGGGTGAGGGCCGCCCGTACCTCCTCCGCAGGGCTGGTGTTCAGCACCAGAACCAGCCGGCTGGGCTCGCAGTAGAGGCGAAGGAAGCGCAGGAGCAGGCGGTCGACGCCCAGCCCGCGCGCGCAGATGACCAGTCCGTCCTGGTGGAAGAGATCCAGGAAGATCTGCGTCTCGTGCTCCAGAGGCGGCCCGGCCGCCATGGCCAGCGGCTGTCACCGGCCGCCTTCTCCGCGCACGCTCCGGAGGAACCACGGAGCTGGCAAGGTAGAGCGACGCAGAAGTCGGAGACTTCCTCTGCGTGGGAGAGGCCGGAACTTCCTCTCAGGCCGGAAGTTCGTCGGCCTACCGACGCGGGGCGGGAGCGGGAGGAGAATGCGCCCGTGAAGGAGGCGCGCCTGTGGAGCGGCTCTCGGCAGTCAGAGACCCAGACCGCGCCGCTGCCATCTAGCGGCGGGCGGGTTGGCGCAGCACGGCTCTCCCAGAAGGGATGGCCGCGCGTCGTTGTAGAGGGCTTTGCGAGGAACAGAAGGAGGTCGTTTTAAAAGTATCCCCGCGGGAAGCCAGAAGGGATGGCCGCGACCTGGGCCAACATTAAGGGAGCAGAACAGAA